AGAATCATCCGATTTCAAAAATTTATATTTTAAAAAATTACACACAGAAAATTACAATTCAAACACGAATATAACGGGAAATGTGTGAGTTTTTGTTTACAAGTGTTCAATATGACTTCCTTTCGTTACACGTATGATATCATTGCGATATGAAAGTTCTTGCCAAACACGGTGTAATGTATCTCTGGTAATTGTTTGTACAGCATCACAAATGCGTTTTTTCAGTTCATTTACACTTGTAGGTAAAGGTGGTACAAAGACAAGATCCTTCACAAATCCCCAAAGGAAGAAGTCGCATGGGGGTTAGGTCGGGTGATCTCGGAGGCCAACTGTGTAGAACCATATTATCGGATGAACTGCGACCAATCTAACGGTTTGGTAGTTCCGTGTTAAGAAAATTCCGAACCTCCAAGTGCCAATGGGGTAAAAAGTAAAACTCGCACATTTTCCCGTTATATTCATGTTTGAATTATAATTTTCTGTGTGTGTAATTTTTTAAGATATAAATTTTTGAAATCGGATGATTCTTTCCGGGGAACCCTGTACAATCTGTATATATCGTAATATCTTTTACCTTTTCTCTTCGATTTTTCTAGCAATTTTTGTATCGAACCAGCCGCGGTCTGGCTAAATGTTTCGTGCAACGATTCCGTAACGAACTACAGAAAATTCTTCCTAATTGGCCGACAGTGCTTGGAAACAAAAATGTCACTGAGAAAAGGAGAGGGGAGAGCGTTTCGTCCGGGACCCGCTAGAGGACTCATCGGTAAGGCTATTCTGGCGTGCCTTTGTCTTAGACGTTGGGATATCGGAAGGATGGACGAAGTCTGTATATATAAACAAATTGAAGCATATAAACAATTTGATAGGTTACTTGCGGGAGAGAAGAACTGATCTGCCGGCGACGAGGCTGGAGGTAGCAGCCACAGTCACCGATGATTGTCAACGACTGTAAATACGAGCCGCGAGGAGGCTCGAATAATCGCACATCTCCTCGAATAGTCCATTTTTGTGTACAATCTGATCGACAATTGCGAGGAATTTACAAAGCGTTGAACGCAAACTTTCCGCCGTGCGTTTTACTGATCGCCACGTGGTACGTTATAGGTAGACGGCTAAAAAGAAGCGAGGAGGTCCAGCTTTTCAGCAAACCAGCCGGGCGTAATATCGTGGAAGCACGTAAAAGCGACGGAGTCGCAAAGATGGCGGTCCTCTCGCGTGCGCAGCAACGGATCAAGCGGCGACAAGAAGCAACAACGTGTCGGGAGGGTATCGAACACGGAGCCGGGATCCGGGGTCGCATACCGCCGTGACATCTCCGGACGATAATGCATCAAGCATTGACATAATAACGTTTGCGCGCGGGCGCGCGTCGTTCAATCTCGCGGAACGAAACACGACGCGCGGCTGCTCCCGCATAACGAAGAGGAGCCCGTAAATCGTAAAACGGAATAACGTTTACTGTTACTTTAGTTTATTGCGAGCCATCAAGCCGCGGCGCACACCGTCTTCTTCCGTATGAAAGGCGTACCCCACGGGTTAGCGTAATCGTTTACTTTTAATGACGGGGTGAAAACGCAGATGCGCGAAGCCTGAAAACCGATACAGGAAGAGAAGACGCGGAACACACGCGTTCCGCGTCGGCTTCGCGCAGAATCTCGCCGTGCTCTCCTATCGTCGAGCCTGCTCGAGCCCGCTAAATATCGAAGTTTTCGATGGGGAGGAGTTTTTAACCCTTTGCGCGCTCGAAGCCATTTTCACTCTACAGTAAATTCTAGCCGACTGCCCCTCGCAGCTTGTAAACGAAAGTAGAGACGTTTTCCGATTATAATAGTTTCTTCGAACGATCGCTTTTTTATTTTAGAATTCTGCACTATTTCAGAGACTCTTTCGTGGAGAATGCTCGAATAAATTCGACGATCCTGGGAGGAAGACGAGGAAGTCTCGGCGGGAACCTCGCGGGACCCGCAAACGTTATCTCGATTCGGAGACGCGGAAGGGAGACTACTGAATTATAATCGCGAGGTTGTTCCGTGCGGCACTCGATTAGTCGCGTGATTATGCGAAAGACGAGAGGAGAGATGAGAGCCGTGGCGAGGCGAGACGAGGCGACGTGAGGCGAGGGAAGACGATGCGAGGCGTGATGAGGCGATGCAAGGCGAGGCAAGGCGAGGCAAGGCATCGCGAGGCGAGCCGGACTCGCGTGTGCACCAGCACGCGATAACGATAGCGTGGAGCAGCGTGCACGCGCACCAGTATCGCGACCGCGCCTCGTTCGGTTATCTTTTAACTGTACCCTTCGATTTTATAATTTGTTACACATTATGCGCGAGAGCCCGGTGCACCGGCGACCGCAGTAAATCCCGTGTGCTGTTGACCCGAGGATCGCTGGACCGAGACCAGCTGCGGCGAGCCGCAGCCATAGATATTCGCGAGTCCGCGCGGGGCCGCGAGGCGGGTCACCAGGAAGCAATATGCATGCCTCGTGTTTCTCGTTTCGACTTTCGAACTTGCCCGCCGTTAACCGCCTCGCGAATCCGTCGGACCTCCTCGTCCGGGTCTTCGCTTCGAGTCATTCGCGCGCTTTTTCGCTCGAACGACGCGCGACGCCGCGGCGCTCGGTGATGGATGAAAGCTTGAAATCATAGTAGAAATGAAAGACAGCGACTGATTTAACAACATTGTAACTATAGAATTGTAATACTGAAAAGAGGAAGAGAGAGAGAGAGAGAGAGAGAGAGAGAGCGAGAGAAAGAAAGAGGGCGAGAGAGAGAGAGTGAAAACGAGAGAGTGAGAGCGAGAGGACAAGAGCGCGCGAGAGAGAGAGAAAGAGGGAGAGAGAGAGGGTGT